CCCCAAAACCCCAAAACCCCAAAACCCCTTAGAAGTATACAAATATTGATGACAAATCTCGACAAGCATATATCAGCCAGTTTTTCTCCCCATCCTAATTTGCAGAGTTCCTTTTGACAAGATGGAGCTCAATTTTGTTCAAATTCAGATCAGCCAAAAGGCTATCTTAAAGAAGGGTTCTTTCCTAAAGATAGCCTGGGTTCAAAACATACTGAAATTAGAACTAATCTCCTTAATCAGCAAGAAGGGCTATCTGAAAGCCAGGTTAAGGAAGAACAAATTTCAGTGAAAACTGAAGAATTATCTATTTCTTTAAACTGAAAGCAAGAAATTCCAAACCCTGCAATTGCCAAATATTCATGAAATATAGGAGGCATACATGAAGACGATGAAGAAGCTTGAGAGTCAAGGAAGAATACAAATAGTTTTATCAGCAATATTCCCAAAAATAAAGACAATCAGATTTATTGAGAAGAGTGTTCCCTCCCTAAACGTGCTGGTTTAGAGAAGGAATATGATAAATTTTTTGACTTAAGACACCAACACCAAGATGGGCAAAACCAACAAACTAATACACTGAAAAATATAAATATGAAAAATATATCCCCAAGCTTTAAGAAGATGAAAATTTCCCATAAATGGAATGCGAAAAGAAAAAAGCTCTCTGATTTTCTCAATAATATACATCCATCTGCATTAAATATCCTTGGATATGCATTTCCATTAAGAAGTTATAGCTATATCACTGGTAAGTGCCAGTATACGAATTCTGGTCACTCTAATTCAGATTACGAGCCACATGAATACTTCAGATCAAACAAAATGGACCAGAATATTTGGAATGGCAAGTTACCTCAATACTATCACTGTGATTTTATACTAAAGAAGGAAAACCAGCATCGTTTAAATATCCAGCAATATGAAGATCCTGAATTTAAGGATATTAGCAAGTCAGATTTTAACAAAGAAGATGAACAAGATGTCAAAAATGAGGTAAAAACAGAGGTAAAATCTGAACCAGACTGTCAAATTGAGCCCCAAGGAATTACAGAAGTAACTAAGTTAATTACAGAGGACAGCACAAATACTTTGAACCAAGTTTCATTTAACCTAAGCAGGGAGACTAATGTTATGATGCCCTATATACAGAAGAAATATATAGAAGATTGCTCCACAATAGATAGTCCTGACAACTATCAGCTAAAGATACTCCCTTACTCCCATGAAAGAAATTTCAGGCTAAATTTGGGAAGAGATAGTGAGCCAAGTGATGATAATTGTGCTTGAAATGAAACTAATTCTTCATACTCTCATAAAAACTCCCCTCTTCCTTCAATCTTAAAGCCATTGACATCGTCTGGGTCATATACTACTAATAAGAGAGTATCTTTTGGGCCAACCTTGGTTATGAAATATCAAAATTATTACTAAAAATTCAACGGTTGACCTAAATCTTGGGGTTTTGGGGTTTTGGGGTTTTGGGGTTTTGGGG